CGCCTAGCCGCCTCGCTTCCGGCCTGCTCCGCCTCCGCCTCGCCTCCGCACCCCGCCCGCGCCGTGCGCCGCCCGCGCCCGTCGCTGCGGCGGCCGCGCCCGCGCCCCCGCCCCCGTCCACGCCCGCGCCCTCGCCTCTGCCCGCGCCTCCGCCCTCGCCTTCGCCCTAGCTTCCGCCCTCGCCTCCGCCCTCGCCTCCTCCCTCGCCCGCGCCTGCGCCAACGCCCACGCGACAGGTCGCACCTGCTCTAAACGTACTGAGGTAGTTCACGGCAGCAAATTTCGCCGCTGCAGGGTCTCTGACTCGGAGGCCCTAGAGTTCCACTCCAGACGGTGACGGATTTTCGTCACGGGCTAGATAATATGTCGAATTCAGTCTCTCTCTAGAGGAGAATGCAAGCAGCCAGTTGCTCTCATAGGTAATGGGTCGTGGTTACTCCGCTCAATACAGCGCGAATGCCGGAACAGAACCCTAACAAACGGGACACCCCTTACTTACACGCACTTAGACATACATGCACTACACTACCACACACGTCGAGAGAGCAATCGGAAACTTAGAATTTTTTCCCATTTGGGACGGTGCCCTACTTGGGGAGATATCTGCAGGGGGGATCCCAAGCGTGTTGGTAGGCGCTGGATCTCACGTTTCAGTGAGGGAAGGAACACTCCCACCTGCAGGAAAACGGCAGTACCTCCTCAATGACACTAATGAGTAAGGGCAGATTTTAATGATATGTCTTTTTTTCCTTTAGAACAATGACATTTAGTACAGAAATGTTTTTTATGTTAAGAAAAAAAGTAATGACCCATTTTTATGTTATTTTGGTTTGCATTTTACGTCGATTTCGACTAATAAGTCATTTTTTTTACGTATTCATGTTACTTTTACTGCATTTTTTGCTAATTTCATGGATTTTAATATCAATTTTATAGTACTCGCTCCAAACAATATTTACGAGGTGAAGCAAATGTTCACCACTGAATTCCTGAGAAGCTTTTCGATTTCTTCGCTCATTTACAGTAACGTCAGGCGTTGTGAGTAATATGTAATCCTGTGACGCCTATAGGTGCCATTGTCAATTTAGCCAATTTCAGCAATAAATAAAGGCAGAGATTTTCTTTTAAAGAACAGTTCAAACCAAACAATTGCAAGCTAAGTTCACTAGAACAAAAGAAAGAAGCTTCGATTCCATTAGTAACATGCCGGACACCTTGAGTTTTTCATCTGAAATGGTTTTAATCAATTTTTTTATGTCATTTATCTTTGTTTTAGGGCATTTTTAAAGCATTTATTGATCATTTTTGGCAATATTTTAGGTCATCAAACTCCGCCCCTACTAATGAGTATAGCACTTGACGCACTGGGAAACATAAAATTCAGTGGATCAAGATCACCCTAACACCCACTTGCGCCTGTCAGCGCTCTCAGCCCTTCTTAGCAAGTTCGTAGGTCGTACGGTCAGAATAGGGTGCTTTTGCAGCAGAATAGGGCGAAGCGTTACAGCTATCAACAGCTATAGATCAATAGATCTTCTACGCATGCTCTGTTTGATTTTACATTATTTTTATCCATCTGGGCATGCGCAGAAGATTAATATTGCAGTCGATTGCTGTACGCGCTGGCGTGCAAAAAGTTCTTAATGGATTCATGTTCGGCCGAAGCAAAGTTCGTGTGCTACCAACTGCTTTTGCCAAACGCTACTGCTCAGGCATCAGCAATCAGCCTGCGTATGACTTCACCAGGCATCTATCTTTAAATTATTGCGTATATGCGACAAATATAGTCGATAGCAGTTGTGTAACTTAATGGTATGTTTAAATCAGGTGACGTGACGTGTCGAAGGACACTTCATTTGTCTTGATTGTTGCACAGAAAGGCGTCCAGAGGTAAGAGACGAAAGCAGATTACTCCATTACTATAGAAAGATTTTCTCTCATTTTTTTTGCAATTTATTCTGAGGTCCACCCCTGATCCTCTCCCCTCCCCTATGTTGGTGTTTCGGAGTACCGAAATGGTTTTGACGCGTGACTGTAAAAAGGTTAAAGGGAATTCTCGGGAAAAGAATAATTGCAGGCACGGATGTGGTAGTATTGTTTATTTACGATTTCGAAATGTGTTAACAGCGTCCCAAATCGTTTTTATTATTGAACGTACTGAAAGTGACAATGTCACTAATGCATTCAATACCCCGAGGAGGCAAATATCCCAAATACAACGCAAATATTAACAACTGAAAAGGGAATTCTGGGAAAAAGGTTTATCAGAATCTCATATGCGGTAGTGCTCTTAATGCAGGCTACTGTTTTCTGACCGGAAATTTAACATAACTAGGAAGAATATATTTAGGCAGACTAAAATCATTTTGAAGTCGGTCCACTTCTTATTCTTGTGTCACCCATCATATCCTCTTATCTCTCCACACTGTTGGCACTTGTCCATCAGTTACTACTACGTAGTAGGAGGGAAATGTGTGGCCTTGACAACAGAGTAGAAACGACAGATGGAAGTGAACCGCCTCAATATATTTCCCGCACTAGAACAGCAAATATCTGTTCCCACTCTGGAGACTTTTAATTATTTCAAAACGTGTCGTTTCTCTTAGTAAATATTAGTAATTTCACAATTTTCCATTTCATAATTTCAATAAAATACTTCATTCGTTACCAGAGGTGGAGTAAGTCCATGAGAGAGGCAAAGTGTGTTAATTAAATACTGGTGAGCATTACCAAGTGAAATGGATATTCTCGGAATACGGAGAGTGGAATTGAGAGAATACTTTTTCAACAGGTTGACAAGCGGTGTATATCAGCAAGTGCTCTGCTTCCTGTCGCCACCAGAGGTGGCTTCGTTGTTGAATCAGTCCTCACCTCCCCCTTCTCTGATCGAGGGGGTTGTATTGATTTGGCAATCCTTGTTAAAATAGTCCTCTTCCCCCAATATTTGAAGACTTCTCGTCCACTCAATTTCTTAGAAGTAAAATTGTATTTGATTATTGTAAAATAATATAATACGTTTGGTCCATTCAAATTCATGCTACATTCTAATTACGTATGCGCATTGGTTATTTCTTCCCATTTCTTTAAATAATAGATGTTACGCATTGTGATAATAATTACAACGATAACTGCATTGGAATAAATATTTAGAAGCCGTTATGTTTAATTGGGCAATCTTGTATTCTTCGTTTATTATAATCAGAAAGTTTTCTCAAAAGAAAATGTGTGAGGATAAGATGTAATATTTCATCTTTGGAAGTAAATAATTTTCGGGACGCGGTGTACCTAATTCTAGCTACAGTACACTTAAGCTTCAGTCGCGAGTTCGCTTGTGAGACTCTCATTTTCCACTTATCGGTTGAAAACGTCGAGTAAGGCCACGTAAGGGCGAAGGGATGGCAACGCGAAGGAAAGGGCCGCGCGGGCGGAGGTCGCACGCGGTCTCGTGCGGTTGCTAGGGCGACGCGTGGGCAAACAGCTCCGCCGTCACTGCTGCCACTACTTCACGCGTCACAGTCACACCGCAGTCCTCAAAGAGCGCCGGTGAACCCTACACCGCAGGTGCATCGACATTAGAAGAATTACAGTAGACCCTCGCGAAATCGGTATTGAATCATTGCTTCATTGAGTAGTACATATTGTTGAGTAACGTCTTCTGACGGCAGGTTTTTACCTCTTCAGGGGGTTTTTCCTGAGCCGTACCTTGTGGTCTCTTTTCCGCGGCTTTGATGCCATGGAGAGACCATTTAAGGTGAATACCAGAATTCGAAAGATCATAACGCGAAAAGATGTAGGTATTGTAATGGCTTAAAGGCCTTCGGCCTAGCCACATAGGATCAAGTAATCTAATTCGTTTGTAATAATTACCTATTAAATAAATAAATAATAATATTGTTGAGTAATCTGAATCATTGTGTAATTCGAATATTTAGGTAACTGAAATAATCGGAACCTTCAACTTACTGAATAATTATTGACTCATTTGAATACTTAAACTGAATAATTGTAGGCCTATCCCTTGAAATTCGTTTCTAATAGCAGGTGGAAATTTCACAGTTGATTCGAAATTTCGGAAATTGCCCAAGGATAATTGAAAATCAAACTTTTGTATGTCGTGAACAAAAACAACAACAACAAAAAGTGAAGTATGTGTTAAATAAATATTACTTACTAACTATTTGTATTTTTCGTCAACTTGCCCAACACTTCATTTTATTAAAAGAGAAACTTTATTATAGAAGTTTAGGTTGTGTTAATTTGAATAGAGATAAAGTGTGAATTTCACCATTTTATTCGTTGTTAGATGTCGTAATGTTTAGGGAACTCCCGGTTCCCTTATGTACATGTCTTTCTTTATATTTATTAAAAATATGTAATTTCAAACGCAACGTGGCATAAAATAAATGTTTCGTTACGAATATTTACATACCATCATATTTAGTCCTATCCAATTCCCCTTCACATTGTCCTGTACTTTGCATCTCCAATATAAACAAATATATATCAAATACAAACTATTATATGAATAATTAAGAAATATTCCCTTCGCGGCTGAAGTCATTTGTACAAGTAAAACAGAATAATTCTAAAATTTCCAAAGAATCATTTTGCATTTACTTTGCTCATGAAAAATATAAATTGTAAAACAAAATAAAAATCAGTGGAATAGGAGAATAATGGGAAACGTAAAAAGTTCGTGAACTGGTCATGAGTACAAATGGGTTGTGACCTACAAAATGATCTATTCTTACGAAGATCTACTAATATTCACGTACTTGACCTATGCTAATTCGTCTCAATAATAATGTTCACGTTTGAAAAAAAATCGCAATTTTTAGCTATTTATTTCATAGTATGCATCAGAACGATAATATCGTTCTCCTGATGGTGGGTAATTTCTAGTATCTTTCTCGGTAATAATGATCAATCGAGTCTCTCTACATGTTTTCCTCGTTAAGTTTCATCGAGCGGCGAATACATTTACACATTTCCTTTTCTAGGTCGTGTTCCCACAATCAACCTCTTCAAGGAGAGTACACACGGTGGGCTGTGTAAGTGCCTGTCGTAACCAGGAATGTCTTCACGAAAGCGCTTGTGTTCGCTTTGTTGAGCCTCTTTAGCTCGTCGATTTCCGGAACGTAGATATCCTCGACTTGCCAATTGTATTGACATGCCCTTCACTTCCCAACATAACAGGCTGCGCGACATTGTATGTACAGGGTGCCTCTTATCCTGTTTTCAAGTGTTAGCTTTAGAGAAGTTGTCTCAGGTACATGTGTTATAAAACCTGTTGAAAATGTTGTCATTACAGTGTCAGTTAAGAAAAACTTTCAAAACAGACAAAGTGTATCTTTTATTTTCATTTAGAACCGTTTTATAGTTGTCTTTAACGATTCTCCCTCTTGTCATTCTGAATGTTCACAATGTCATGAATTTTTTATTCCTTTTACGTTACCTTTCCTTCTCTTCCTTATACATACCTAGTTTTCATTTATCTTTACTATAACTATGATCCAAAAATGTATGTATTTTAATGACAGACTCCTACAAATACAATATGTTATTTACGGTTTATCAGTTGTAGAGTACAGTAACACCAATGTAGATTAGTCGTGTTCTTTCTCTGCTTTCGATTAGTTCCAAAATTGCTGGCATTTTCTTTAAAATTGGATTGATTAGTAACACGCGATATCCAGAATATTTCAGTGGAAGATCCGTGCTGTAGAAATTAAAAAGAACTCAATATTTAAAGTAATATTGTGGTAAAAAACTTGAAGCATTGTTTTGCAGTGATGTACAAACTTTAAATAGTGACTTCGTTTTTTACTACCTCCATCAGTTCACAACCCCATTTGCATCAATAAGCTGAGCTTGAATGAAAGATATCATTTTTTCAATAAATTTAGTATACAATAAAGTAATAATATAAAAAAAGCATTCATGAAACTTAGTTCACATACAATAGGTGTTCTAAATATAGAAGGGAAGGAAGCAATGTACTATTGTCACCAGACGTTTTAATAAGTTAAGGAAGAAGTGGTTAATCAAAATAAAACACAAATTCTACATGCTACAAATATATATGACAGGAAATAGCTTATCTGAAAGGAAATTAGGCGTGAATATATCACGAAATGGTAGTTAATTATAAGTCATATTATATTCCTGACATTTTCAAAACAGTAATCTCATGTTCTGTAATATTTTTTTTTTATTTTTAGAAAACGGATTAACCAACCTATCATCCAGATATATAATTTCTACCATCGTTCTTCCTGTATTAGATATCCTATACAATAAACAAGGAGATCAGTTTAGAAATACCGTACTGGAATGAGGCATTTTATTTACTGATCTAATCGGCGCGACGTTGCCAAATTACACGTGGGGACCATTAAAGTTCAACTGTATGCCCCGTACTCTTAAACGATATGCCCTCATTGATTCGAATCAGAATAACAGTTCTTTGGCATTTTTTAAGAAAAAGGAGCCTAAATAGTACAGTATGAAACTTTCAAATTGGTTCCGTTATAACAAATAAATAGTAAACTAAGGGAACCGGTTTAAATGCAGATTTCCATTGAAAATGAACAATTCTCAATAGAAGTCTCAACTCTATACCCCATAAAATGTCATCGATGAGCCATTCGAGGATGATACGGTAACAAAATGTTCGGATCTCTCACTTCAATCAAACTTTAACTTGAACGTCCATTTAAATGAATTTGTACACAAAATTAAGCTCATTATACTACGCATTCAAATTCAGTGAGCTTTCTTAGAGCTTTTTGTTTATTTCTTTCAGACTTTTAGATTAGAAAACATATTTCTACGAATAATAAGCAAATACCACTCACATGATTCTTGTGAACCTCTCTTTTCAGACAAGTAATTATACCATTACTTTGCCGGTGGCTTTAATAATCAGTATTTTTAATCAAAAATGGATTTTACAAGGGTGAGAATATATATATATATATATATATATATATATATATATATATATATATATTTTTTCAGTGAATAAAGACATCTGTAAATAACACTCTACATATTAATCACATTCATAATGTGTTAGTATCTACAGATCACTACAAGTAATTCTCAAACACCATGAACCATTCACCCACCCACACCGCCTCTTTGATTTACAAAAACAACACACACAAACACTATTGTTTAATGTTGCTACATCAAAAAACTATTAAAATCGATACAAAAGTTTAAGTATGAAGTTAAATATTTTCCGCTACAAAACCATTTCTATTCTATCAGACTACTGGAGGCCTGCAGCAGCAAGAAGGCTAGTAAAAAGAGGTTTTTCCAAAAAGTAGTTGGCAGAGAGTGAAAAAACACAAAGAGAAAAGTCCAGTGCAACATCCCAATGAAATAAATATTTTCCTCTAAACAGTCTTTACAAATTCTGCTACTTATTGTAGTACTTGCGCAACTTATAGTAGTACAATTGTATATACTGTATAACAATTCCTTACAAACTAAATGTATAAAAAAGTGCTATTTCATAAAGCATCAGGACATTATTGAAAATTTAATGGCGGGCGGCCTCTTTCTTGGGACCGTTATTTCGCGTGATATTGGGTGCGAGAATTAGAATTCAGTGGGTATGTTATAGGGCAAATGTTTTCTTTGCAATTTTTGCCAAAAAGCTCGTTCGTACTGGCATTGAATTGAACCTAATGTGTAGATGAGTTAAGGTGGAGGTTCGAGAGCTCCAGAAATTTGAACAGATTGCACTTCTCCCCAAAGTAAGTCACAAACAATTTTAATTATTTTTTGACATTAAACAATTCAATTAAGTAAGATAGACTGCCTCCTAAAGTAAGTTTCACCGTCTGGGCGTTCGCTCTGTTGAACAGCATTCCTCAGACATTCACAGCTGTAACTTATTTCCATTGACTCCCAACGACCACGCTGTCCGACGCTGCACGCACCACACAAGCAGCGCCTTAATTCGTGGCAGCCCAGGGCTGGCCCAACCGCGAGCGCGCCAACTGCTCTCTCTCGCCTTCACTGTGAGCGCCTGCCTTCTGCCGCCGCCGCCGCCCGCTCTCTTTTTTCTGCTCTCTCTCTTTCGTCGCCGCCTGAAACTCCCTTTTAATGAGCCTCCGCCGCAGGGTGCCGGCGCCGCAGGAGCCGCAATTGTCACAGCGGCGAAATAAAATTACGGGAGCCTGCCATCCAGTGCTCCGCTACGCCCCGCTCTCTTCCTCCGCCTCCCACTCCCTCTACCAACATAACCGCTCCGCTCCCCTCCCCTCCCCAATCATATTCCCTCCATGCCCATCTGTCCCTCCACCGCCCTCTCCCGCCACCTGTCGATCTCTTCGACACTCTCCGCCACTCACTCCCTCTACCACTTTCTCTAGCTCCCATTCCCTCTACATCCACCCCTAACACTCCCCCTACCAGCCATCGTCCCTTAACATTCACCTCCTCTGCCAGTCACCCCCTCTAACACCCATTTTCCCACCCCCGCTATCACCCATTCCCTCTACCCCACCTCCCCTACCACTCATTCTCTCTACTACCTATTCCGTCTATCGCCTACTCCCTTTACATTCCACCCCTCTACCGTCCGCACTTTCACAATTCGCTCCTCTACCGCACATCCCTCTACCATCCACCCTCTCTAATAATCCCCTCTACCACTCACTCGCTTTAAATCCCACTCCGTCTACCGCTCACTCCCCGTCCTACTCATTCTATATCCCACCCCCCTCTACCACCCCCTCTCTAAAACCCACTCCTGTCATCCAGCCTTGCCCTTCTTCCCATCACTTCCCCTCCCTCTCCTGCCACACAAGTCCCATTTCGTCACGTGCCACCATGTTCCGTGTGCCGCCCCGCATCACCCACCGTTGCCATCCCTTCTGCGTGTAACCGCCCCTCTCCTCCTCCCCACACCGCCTGCTTGGCGGCGCGCCTGCCCTAAGGGCGCCCCTTCGAGGGGCTGCCGGCGGGTTCAGCCTGATTCCGGTGGAGCGCTCGGAAAGGAAGAGGGAAGGCCACAAGTGCTTGCTTCACTCCTGTCCGACTGCGATCTTTCGGTTCAACGTAGGCTTTGAAAGTATTTTTTTCTGTTATGTTTTTTCTTCATTGGCCTACAATTACAGCAGATTTGGTTTATTACTTGTTACTGAAAATGAAAAGGAATAGAAGCTTTGAATAAAAATTATATTTTACGCTTTATTCATTTAAGTGTCGATTTATTCTTACAGGTGAATCGGAATAAATCTTTCAAACCTAAGTGGACTTTACATGAATGGAAAAAAGGGTCACTTTTATTAGTTAACGTGCGGTGTGAAGTTTTATATAATATAAGTAACACATGAGAATTTGCCCCTGATTGGTACGAAAACTCATGAACTGGTGTTTGGCAGATGAAGCTCTGTCATCAAGTACATCTGTCATTAGGCTGCGAATCACTAGTGCATTAGAAGGTGTCTGTCAATTAAAAGCAAATGTCACACAATATGACTTACTTCTATGAAACTTCCCACCATATGTTCACCGCGAAAATGTTTTCCTCCCTCCCCTCTATATGTTGTATATTTTCTTATAAATTTAACGAGACAGTCTGTACATCGCATGTACACAAGTTTATTTCGAAGATTTTAACACAGAACGTAATAGTTATGACTTTCTAGTGAACAAATTGTTTGAAAATAAATTGCATAGTTCGAATTCGTTGCCTAAATTTCGATTCCTGACCGCCGATCGTCCGCAAATGTTAAAAATACCCTCTCCGCTCGGAATAACACGAAAGACACAGAACACTCTCAATCCATCATGTTTTTCATCACGCCAACCCCTCCTTTGTTCAGACTGTTCCCGTCTGTTTCTCAAAGTCGATCTCACTTGTATCTCCCAAACTTTCCACCCGAACTTATTCTTCTTTATAAACACACAAAAGGGACTAAATCACAAAGCGCATTTTAAAGCACCTCCCGAAAGCAAATTCCTACAACCCTTTCTCCTTCCTCCCCAGCAGCTAAGGACCGCGACCTTTCGAAACACACAG